TTGTTTCATTCAGTTTTTCTTATTTAGAGTTGTTTTTTTTTTTAAATTCTTTTGCCATGTTTTTATAAGTCATTACTAGTTGTGTATTATACACGATGCTGTATGTGTGTAGTCAGCCATTTAATTTTAATTTTTATTGTATTATTTCTTTTATTTAAATTTAATTTTAATTTGTTGTTTTTATTTTATGTTTATCATTGTTTTTATATTTTTCTATATTCTGTTTTATATGTGGAATTTTTTTTATTTTTGTATTTCTAAGTCTTTTTTGGATTTGTAGATAATGTATTATATATTACTCGTATTGGTTGTGATTTTAGTTTTTTCCTAATAATTTTCTAATATTTATGATTTTCTATATTTTCTTATAAATTTTTAGTGAAGTTTGATAGGATTAGGTGTTGCTTATCAAGCGGTTTAGCTTGATTCATTTCGCTGGATGAAGGTTTGTCGTGTCTGTACTTGTGTCTGGGGCTCTTAGTTGTAGTACCTCGTCACTTCTCCTTTTTTCACTTTATCACTTTTGAATTGATATCCTTGTTTTCCTTCGGCTGGGAAGGAGTCGCATGTTATTCCAGTGCATAAAAACTGTATCCTTTTTTTAGTTAGTAATTATAGGCCTATAGTTAAGATGTCGGGTTTTCCTAAGCTTTTTGAAGTCATTTTGATTGATTACTCCTATTCTTTCTATGGTCTTTTTATTCATTACAGTTAACATGGTTTTAAGAAGGGTAAGTTTCCGGTTACTAATTTGGTAGGGTTTGTTTCGGATACTATTAATATTATGGATGGAGTGGCCAAGTCGATGTTATTTTTACGGACGCTAGAAAGGCTTTTGATACTACTCCGCATGAAATTCTTCTAATAAAATTGTTTAGAACAGATTTTTCTCGTCGCATGATGTGGGTATATTCTCATATTACATGTGGGTTGCATCAGGCTTCTTTACATTTGGCTTTGTCTGAGGGCCTTGAGTTTTTGTCAGAGGAGGGAGTCTTCTGTTTTCCAGGATGACTATTGCCTCAACAAGGCGGTATATGAGAGGGTTAGACTTTTTGTAATCTTGGGGTAATGCTTGACAATAGGTTACATTTTGGCCCTCATTTGAATATGATTCTTGGAAGGGATAATTCAAAGTTGGACTTTATAACAAGATGGGTTAGGAAGTTTCTTGACTGGAGCAGATTCTGGAGTGTGCTTGTTGTCAGGTTTGGGTGCCCTATCGTGTAGTGGATGTTTCTCGTATTAAATTTGTTCAAGGGAATTTTCTGCGTTTTGCTTTAAGCGGTTTTGGCTGGTCTAATCCTCTTATGTTGCCGTGTTATTAAGCTAGGTTGATATTGATCGATTTGCAGTCTTTGAGGAATTGTAGGGTTGTCGCGGATATAGTGGTTATTCATCAAGTTGTGTCTGGGGTCATTGTGGCTCATTCGTTGTTGGAACGAGTTTCTGTTAGGGATAATGTATAGAATCTTAGATCTGTTGAATTGTATAATGTTCACTATCATTCTACTGATTGTGGTAGATATGAGCCGGTCAATACAATGTTGGGTTTATTAATTCTAATTCTTTGGTGGTTGATCTTACTGTCAGTAAGAGTACTCTTAGTTCTAAACTTTTGTGTAATTAAAATTTGTGGTAATTTTCTTTTTTTCTTGTGCGCTCTTATTTATTTATTACCGACCGTATTGTGTAAACAATAGGTAGGTTATGTGATGGCAACAAATTTTGCATATCGAGTTTTCGGTGGGAACGTACTTCTCCATAGTAGGGAAGTGTAAATAAACTATTTTTAGCAACCTGTCGGTCTGTCGGTCTGTCGGTCTGTCGGTCTGTGTGTGCACGCGTGTATCTCAAGTTCTGCTGAACCGATTTTGATGAAATTTTCTATGTAAGTTTATTTCCACCATGGCACGGATTGATCAACTTTTGGTATATATCAGGCCTCGGAAACTGCACTTTTTTGTGGGCCTGTTTTACATTTTTGAACATTTTGAAGAAAATATTCAACCGATTTACTTGAAATTTTATATATAGGCTCAGCTCGACCGTCCGCAAAAATTCCTATGTTTTGGCAGAAATCAGGCATCGGCAAGTAGACGTTTACTACGGGCCAAATATACATTTTTGTGTATATAAAGAGAAATAATCAACCGATTTCATTGAAATTTAATATTTGAATTCCTCGTATTAAAACAATGAACATGTAAATTTTTTGGAAAGATTAGGCCTCAGCAACTAGACGTTTACTACGGGCCAAATATACATTTTTGTGCATATAAAGAGAAATAATCAACCGATTTCATTGAAATTTAATATTTGAATTCCTCGTATTAAAACAATGAACATGTAAATTTTTTGGAAAGATCAGGGCTCGAAAACTGATCTGCGGGCCGATTTAACGTTTTTCACCATATCTACGGAACGAATTGATGGAATTTCTTGAAATTTGATATTTGAGTTCTGGTTGTTACCGAAACTAACTGGCGAGCATTTCAGGGAATTCGGGTAGCACAAAGCGAACCTCTACTAAGAGCCAAATTTACATTTTTCTAGGTATGTTAACTATAAGCTTACTAATCTCCTAAAAATTGGAAAGAAATATTTAACAGACATTTTTATAATATTCTGCAACACTTTCATTTAACTAGACAATACACAATGCGGTTGGTTATGTGCTGACCACATCAGATTTTTTTTTCTCTCTTGTCGCTTTTTCTTGTATTGTTCTTTTTATTGTGCGTCTGGTTTTGTTGTTAGTCTTTAAGTTTTTATTTGTGCTCGTCATTTTATTTTACTTTTTCTTTTATCTCCTTCCTCTATTTTAACTACGCTATCTTATCTTTTTCCTCCCTTTTCTATAACTGATAGTTGCTTAGTTATAACTAAACGATGTTTTTATTTGCACCTTTCGGCGATGTTTTAATGTTTGATCTAAGCAATGGATGTTTTATATATAAGTACGACTACAAACTACAAATTTGGCTCAACTATGTTTAATTTTAAATTTCCACTCGCAGGTGCGATATTATAAAATGTTTATTAATATTTGGTAGTAAAATGAAGATGATTGTTACTTTTACTGTTTAAAGTAATATTTTGGCTTTTGGTGTAACAAGGATCATGAGTTTAAAATTCAAATAATACTATTACAAATATAGAATTCAATTTATAAACTGTAATTTTGTAGCAATGTAATTGAATTATTGCTATTTCAAATTCACGAATTATTCAAAAGTTTTTGTTTTAAAGGAAGTCTTTTTAAACATGCAATTTAATTACACTTTAATATAGTATTTATAACTGAAATAAATGTTCAATTGAAATTAAAAAATATTAAAACAAAGATAGTTTAAACTTTTATCTTAAAAAGCTTAAATCATATTTTCAATCATTTTTGATTTTCAAATGTGTATTTCAAATCATATCGCTATAATGAAAATTTGAAAGAGAAAAAAAAATAAATCGTTTATACCTTATCAATTTTCTATCATAATCCCGTAATTAAATTTTTATTTCTGTTATTTAATAAGAAAAAAATTTATTTTTAAGGGGCGACCATCTCTTTCCATATTTTATCTAGGATTTTTATATTGTGTCCCTAATATGTTGAATTTTCGCATTTTTATTTCAAAATACAATTATCACAACTTTATGTTATTTATTTATCATTGATTAGGTTGAAGCACTTGTCAAAGAATACGCATTCAGACAAAAAAGGCCCGTTGTGATACAGCTGGTTCTTCAATATCCCCACTCTTACTTGAACCAACCCGAGTCTTTAATAAACTAGCTTAGATCCCTAACATTCATATTCGCCAAGCAATTCTCTTCTTCCTCGTCAATGTATAGTTGCTGCAGAAATCGTTAACGGAGATTCCTTTTTCCAGTTATAATCCCTATCACTGCTCCGATATTTCCTTCATAGGGAGAGATTATTTAAGCTTATCATTGATTAAACATAAATAATTCCGTATTTCTTTTATTTTACGTTACTACTGTTATTCACTTGTTTTCAATTAAAAACAAATTCTATAAAATTTTAATCACAAAAATATATGATCACCGTTATCGTTATACTCAATCAATCAAAGTCTTTTTATAGATTTGGAATTTAAAAAAATACTTATAAATAGCTAAATACTTTATTTATATATCGTAATTGAATACAATAAATAACGTAGTTGTTGACTGCTAGAAACTTGACTTTCGAATAGTCATTAAAATCGTATTTTAATGAAAAAAAAAGTGAAAAATAGTTAATTACTAAAATAATAATAGTTAAAAACAGAATTATACGAATTATTATCCGATTATCCGATTATACGAATATACAGTTAAATCATCCCGTACTTATTTACGATAAAAATATTCAAAATTTGCATATTTTGCAGAAACCGGTTGAAATTAAAACAATGAAATTCGAATAAATTTTAAAATTTGGGTCCTCTGCATTTCATTCTTTTAATACTAAATTCTTGTTTTAATTAATTACTAAATTTTAAATTAATTTATTTAATTAATACTAAATTTTAAATACTAAATTCATATATACATATAATTGTCATGATATAAACGTAAAGTATATAGTGATTTATAAAGGTATACATCAACATACACCATTGGTTAAAATCTAACCGTTAAAGTTAGTCAACTAAATCTCAACGGTTTCCACGTCCATTTCGCATGGATTTTATCAATTTTGAAATAAATTTTTTTAACAAAATTTCCATTTGCCCAAGCTTCTTTGTTTATACCTCCAGTTCTGAAAAAGATAGAGGCTATTTTAAAAGAGCTTAAAATCAAAATATTACTTTATAGTTTGCATTTTATGTATGTACTTAATTTCAGAGAACCAAGAAAGCATTCTAATTTGAGAAAAATTCGAAGTTTCTTCATTTTTCCGCTTTTTTCTTTAGTTTTTTTTATCGCGATAATTTCGTAAGAAATTTTTTTTTAATTAATAATTATGTTCTTATTTATATTCTCCTTTTTTGCAGAATTTTAACACTGGAATAAATTAAAAAAGTACTTTAATATTAACTTATATACTTGTATACATATATATTCATGTATATACATATATAATATATGTATACAGGGTGTTTTGCATAAAATGGCAAATAATTTCAGGGATGATTCTTTGATAAATTTTCAGCAAAAAATTGTATGGGTGGGTGGTTTATATATACTCGTTTTCGGACTACAGTCTGTTGAAAAAAAAGATACTGAACTTTTACTGCATATACATAAATCCTTATAACTTCGGAACCATGCAACACAGTAAAGTTTTTTTACAAAACTCGAAATTTCTCGAAAAATGTTATAACTTTTTTTTTTCGATACACTACTATAAGATTAAGCCAGTCACTACGATAAAGCCAGTTAAATGCGTTCAAAAAACATGCGGAAAATGCATTAAAATTCACAAAATATTTGTGAATGTTGTTTGTATAAAAAATGTATGGGTTAACTTTCAGCTCTTATTGTAGCGCATCGAAAAAAGAAACAAAAAAAATGAGAAAAAATAGAGTTGCTATGTCAATAAATAATGTTGTCTATGTGCGAATAAATATATGTCAAAAATGGGTAGGGGACATACTATGTTTTTAAGTTGCCATGGTATGGTTAATATGGTAATTAATTAATGCAAAATTTCAGTACTGTGTTTTCAATATTTTCTAAGATATTTGGCAAAACTACTGTTGAAGTTGTATGGCGGCTACCAGAAAGAGCCAAGCAATTTCAACAAATTTTATTAAACACGTTGGCCCTACTAATATATTGGCTTGTGTGAAATTTTAATATCACAGCCTTTATAGTTTCTGAGATGTAGACAAATATATTTTTAAGTTGCGTAGCAGCTACCCAAACTAGTATCCAAATCATATCCAATTTAAATAGGGTTCACAAATGATTTATTGAAGAAAGTGCCAGACCTCTATTTAAATTAAACATGATCGGGGTACCGGTTCGGGTAGCTGCCATACAACTTCAAAATTTATTTAGCTATATCTCAGAAACTATAAAAGTTGTAGTATTGAAATTTCACACAAACGAATATATTAGTAGGGCCGGTGTGTTTGATAAAATTCGTTAAAATTGCATGGCTCTTTCTGGTAGCTGCCATACAACATCAATAGTAGCTTGGCACACAATGTATTTTGAAAAACACAGTACTGAAATTTTATATAAATTAATATGGTAATACGGCTATGTTCTATGGTTGCGAAGTTATAAGCATTTATTTATATGCAGAAAAAGTCCGTAATTTTTTTTTACACCCATACAATTTTTTGCTGGAAATTGATAAAAGAATCATCTCTGAAATTATTTTCCACCATATGCAAAACGCCCTGTATATGTACATATGAAAATATTAACAAAAGAATAAAAATATTAATATACAGATACACAGAAAAAAAATACAAAATAATAAAAAATGAGTACTCCACCACCGCCATCTGTTACAAATGCTGATCCATTGAGAGTACATCAAAGACTTTGCCATGTTATTAAAAGACCTAATTTTGATGGTTATGGTTTTAACTTACATTCCGAAAAAGGTAAACTTGGTCAATATATTGGTAAAATTGATGAAAAGTCACCAGCTGAAGCGGCTGGCCTAAAAGAAGGTGATCGTATTATAGAAGTAAATGGTGTTAATATTGGATCAGAAACTCATAAACAGGTAAAATTTCTAATTTTATATACAAACAGTCATAGTTACTAATATTTTTGACATGCAAATTGCAATTTCACATTATCACTAAATACATACATACATAATTAACTTAAAAATTCAAATGAATAAGTCAAATAATACAAAATTTTGTTGCAATTTGCATAAGATGTCACGCATACAATCTGATACGAATCAATTATCAATATACTTTTTAATAAATTTGTACATTTATTTTCTTTTTTATTATATAAAATAATAATGTACATATATATATATATATATATATAGGTGGTTCAAAGAATAAAAGCAATAGCAAATGAAGTCCAATTATTAGTAATTGATCCACAAAAAGAAAATGAAATTTTACAAATGCAAAAAACTGTTTTAAATGCAACTGCAATAACAACAAAAACATCTAATATAGCACAATCAGATTCAGATATATTAACATCATCAACAATAACAATCAAATCAACTTCAACAATATCATCGCCAACCAAAGAAAGTAATAAAATATCAATGTCAACATTTGCAGCAAAACAACCGACGCCTCCACCCTCATCATCAATATCAACAACAACTACATCTTCTATACCACTAACAAGAATACAAACAGAAGAATTACAATCATCATCATCAATGCCATTGCCATTATCATCAACATCTTCAACAATAATAAAGAGTGATGGTGGTGTTAAAACATCAACAATAATAACCGAACAAGAAGTGGAAAAAATAACAAAGACAACAACATCATCATCATCATCTCCTCCATCTTTACCAAAATTATTCCCTGCAACACAATTCACAACAATTAAAAATAATAATGACAATGAAAATATTGATGATGATAATAATGATGATGATAATGATAATGATGAGATAGATTCAAAATTAAATAATAATGGTGCCAATAATAATATTATGATGGTTGATACAAGTAGTCATCATCATAATAAAAATAATAATAATAAATATGATGATAATAATGAATATACATCAAATAATAATAATAATATCAATAGCAGTTCAATTAATAATATACATTTAAATAATAATTTAAATAAAAATATAAATTATAGTAATAATTATAATAACAGTAATCATCATCATCATGGAAATTATCAATATAATGAAAATATTGATTATCAAAATTCAAATATAATTAATGATAATAATTCATCAGCAACTACAACAACTACAACAATAGTAACATCTTCCGGGCAATCATCATCATCATCAAATAATAAAATCAATAATAATAATCATAATATTCATAATAATAATAATGCCAGTAAAAATAAAGATGATATTAAAGAAATAACAAAAAATTTTCAACAAACAATTACTGTTGAGGAACAAAATAATCGAAAACAACAACAACATGATCTAGATAATAATGATTATAGTCAACAGATCAAAGGTTTAAATATTAATAATAATCATAATAATCGCATGGACAATTTATCAAAAAATTCAGACGAACTTCAACAGAATAAATCAAAAGTTCAACAACCATTGGATAGTAATCAACAACAACAGCAGCAACAACAACAACAGCATCAACCACAACAAAAGGATGAACAGCAAAATGATTCAAAACAAAAACAATTACTTAATTTACCAATGACAGCAGCTGAAATGCGTGCTAAATTAATGGCCAAAAAGAAATATGATCCAAAAAATGACGCTGTGGATTTAAGAAAAAAATTTGAAATAATTCAAAAATTATAAAAAAAATACTTTTATCATAGCAAAGCAACACAAAAAAAAAATATATAAAAAAGACAACCTTTTTCGTCCCCCTCCCCCCTTCTCCAGAATTTAAATATTGTAGTAATATTAGGGCTCAGGTATAGGCATGCAATTTTTAGTTTCGCAATTACTGCTTGATTGTCAACTCAAATCGATCGCGTTAACTAAAAATTGTAATCAATTTGAAAAAAATTACAAACTATTTAATTGCTTAATTGCATGCGATCATACGGTTGCATATGTGCACGTTTGCTTGAATATAAACCATAGGTTTGATTTGATAGCAATCAAACAGTTTGTAATTTTTTTACAATTTGCCTGAGCTGTAATGGAATTAACACAAAATAATTTTATAAAGGCTTAGATAGACATGCAATTTTTAGTTTCGCAACTGTTCCATTATGTATGTTAATATGTTTATATTAGACTTGAAGTTTATAAGTAAAGTGTTTAAAATTGTCAAAATAAATTTTTAATCAAAGACAAGTTTAGAATTTCATTTTTTTTTGTATATTTTTGTTTACTTTTCCTACATATGTAATTTTAAAATTTACTGGAATGCCTTAAAGAAATTTTATATTTGTATAAATTTCAATTTAGTTATTTAGAAAAATTTGTATTTGAAATAAAATTTACGGTATTAATACGTAATTCTGAATTTTTATATGAAACCATATTATATAGAAATATTATAGCATTTGTACAATTTCGAAATTAGGTTTTATTTTCATTTATGTATGTATAAGTACACATACAGGATGTTTCGCATAAGGTGGCAAATAATTCCAAGAATGATTTTTTTATCAATTTCCAACAAAAAATTGTATGGTTGGGGACTGCAGATATGTTCGTTTTCGAGCTACAGCTTGTTGAAAAAAAAGTACTGGAATTTTCCTGCATATAAATAATTACTTATATAAATATAATAATTATTATATAAATAATTACAGAAAAGCCCGTTACTATTTTTTGCAACAGGCTGTAGCTCAAAAACGAGTACATCTGCACCCTTCCCTCCAACCCATGCACCAATTTTTTGCTGGAAAATGATCAAAGATTCATCCCTGAAATTATTTGCCACCTTATTCGAAATATCCTTTATAAATATCTACATAATTTTTTTTAATTTACTTTTTTCCCATATGTTTTTTATTTTACAACATATTTTACTTTGACATTCAAAAATGTTTGAAATTCGTATCAAATTCGTAGTATCAAAATTGTTGCATAATTGTACATGCCTTCAAAATAGCAGCAATATGGTATAAATACTTAATTCAACAATTAGAATACATAAGCTGAATTTTGTATAAATATTTTATTACTGCAATTTTGAGATCAGAGTGTATTGCTACATAAATTTACGTACAGGAATACACCCTGACCTAAAAACTCAACTTATAAACTGAATTTTATACCGTTTAGTGCAATTTTGAATTTAACGATTTTTATGTATATTTATACACAATTAATCTTCAAATTTTTTCACAATATAGGCGTTATATGTTACTTTACATTTTAATAGCTTAATTGTGTTGAAAATTTTATATTATAAATTATGGTAGTCCCTATATACCTATAACGTAAATGACTTACCACCATAATTATATCCATTCATAATGTATATATATATACAAAATGTTCTTCCATTTTATAAACAAACATTTTAGATATCAAAATTTATACTTTGTCAATTATTATATAGATATATATATATATATTATTAAAATATTAGTTTGTATAAAACATTCATATATATTATATAAAAATTTGAAAAAAATATTATTACTTATTAAATATAAAATTAATAATGTAACCGCAGAGAAAAATTAATTCTGAATAAAATGAAATAAAAACGAAAAAAGTGTTTTTTTATTTTTTTAAATAAACGCAAATGAAAGCATTCAAAAATGCGATAAAACTGCAATATAGATTAATGTTATAGATATATGTTATGCATAATATTGAACTCATTCTCATATAATGTTATACCAGTTTTCGAGAATGTCATTTGCGTTAAGTTTTGCAAAGCTCTTGGATTCTATTACTTTTTTTAACGGTAGCGTTGTGAATTTCAGTTTTTGTTTTATTTATAATTTTATCCGTTTTCGTAAATTCAAAATTTGTACAAAATTTGGCAATGAGTTTACAAAAAATATGCATTTACGGAAGCGCTATAAACTTGAGTTGTCAAGTAGTACACCAACTTGAATATCTATTCGTAAATGTAAAATTTTGATAGCAATTCTTTTTTTTCTGTATCTTAAAAATCCTATAAAATACTGAATATGCAATTAATTCATTTAAACATTATAAAATATTAAAACTAAATTGAAAACTTAAATTTTTGCGTTATTATTGCCAAGAACCTAAACATGGAAACTAAAAATTGCACACAATGTTTACAAAGTTTACGCGCGTTTTATATTTACGAAGTCTTATTTGGCAGCTAGTTGACAGCCAGCGTTCATTGAAGGTGCAATCCTTAGAAAATATTGTGCAGATTTTAATTTACGAAAACAAGGAATGACCGATTTTGATGTAGAAAAGGAAAGCAGATAACAAAACAATGGGCCAAAAAATTTATATGTACATCATGAACACCATCACCTTGTAAGAGCTTCTTTATTTGCATTTGATTTACAAATCAAAATGATGGAAATTATCATAATATTTATGATATCCTTAGAATGTACCCATATAAGTTATTAAACTATCTTGATTCGATTATAAAAAAATAATTTTATTTCACACAATGTCACAACTATTACTTAAAAATTAAATTTTACAATTACTTAAATTCGAATTGATAGTTTAATTATAATATTCTATTCTTATTAACACCAATTTTAGACTAAATCATATCTTAAAATCTAACAGTATTTATAGTAATTAAAATTAAGTTCATTTCCGGCCTCGTGCAAAATTATAGACGTTTCGTCAGCATTTTTGATGGGAACGATAATTTCGTAATTTCTTCATGTTTAAACATGTTCGATTGCAGACGCTGTGTCAGCAATTTTCATGTGAACAGAAATTAGTATCGTACTGAAGATGTAATTTGATACCACTTGAATATGTAACTAAAGACGGTGATAACTCCTCCCCCTTCAAAGATCTGCGTCCCGTAGATCAAGCTGGAATTTTGGTGCTTCTATGACTGAAATTTGCGGAATCTCTATAGTAGGAACCACTGTTGGAGTGCGTTTTCTCACAACCTTGCTGATGTTTTTCTTGATGACCCAAATGATGATGACTGCAATGATGACGAGTCCTATAGTAATATCGGATGCTATAGAGAGTTGGCTCCTTGGTATTAGCTTCTGAAGTTGTTTTGTGTTGCTGATATGAAGATCGTGAATGTAGTCGAGGCTTAGCTTGATATCTCCTTCTTTTAAATTTTCTTGAAGAACAGGTGGTAAAACTTGCGACGTGGTGGCAGATTCGCTTGTAAATTTCTGACCTTTTATGTGAACGGTTTCGTTGGTATGCTGTATCATAAAGCTTCCAGTTAAGTGTTTGCTCGTGTTGCCACTTGTTAGCTCCCCATTGAAATTATTGAGAAAGATGATATTTTCACTTATGGTTTCTATGATTTCTTCCTTATTGTATTGAAGGCTGCAACTGGCGTTTATTCCCTTTAGCAGTTGATACATACAGTGTCCTTCGTCCAGTTTTCGAATTTTACTTCTTTCGCATATGGTGATGTTTCTTAAATTCTCGCATTTTGTCGATATGCCATATACGTCATCTTTCACGAGAAGTTCCTGATATTCGAGGTAGACTTGTTGGGAGTTTCGGATTGTTGATCTCGCTATAATGTGGTCATAGTACTGGTTGCCTGTCTTCGGTACTGATAATATGTAGAGAATTTCTCGTCCATTGGTTACTACCTGTGGTTTTGCGTATTCTATTGCCTCAATTTCGTTGACGTAGGGTAATGTATCGATCTCCTTCAGTATTTTTTGGATTTCAATCCTGCTAAGAAGATTTGTGTTGACAATTCCATTTTTTGCTAATTCTGTCGCTAACACGATTTCTCCCAAGGCTTCTTTTATGATTCCAAGTTTGTTAAATATTATTTGTTCGGATCGATGATCTAAGTTCCCTACATGTTCCAAAATGTGGTTAAATCTTTCTACTACTTGGTTTGTTATCCTCATAACTTCACGATTTATTTTGTACTGTTGATTATTATTTTGTATCAGCTTGTCTTGGCTTGTAACGATGTTGTCCCAGTCTGTGGCGTCTGGTGTTCCTGCCAGCCATTTCCATGCTGTACCAATCCAATTTATTGACCGTTGAACTCTTGATTTGCTGCTTCTCAATTTAGTCAGAAATTCCATTATTTGAGCCAGTTGGTGTTCTAACTGTGGTTTCATTATGCTGGTCGAGTTGATTCCATCAACCAAAGGAATGATTTGTTGTATAACCTCGTCATAGCTCTTTAAATCAATGATGTGCACCAAATTGAAATTTCCTTCCAAGATTTGACCTTGTCCTTGTTTAATGGTTGCTATTGCGCCTTTGAATTCGAAGATTTTCGGAAATGCTGTAATTCTAGTGACTGCTAGTCTAAAAAGAAACCTAAGGTTTTGATTATTAACATAATATTCTAATGTTATATGTTCTTGATGTGTGATTTATGGATTCTTTTTCCGGAAGCGGTAATAATGGTAGCTTTATTGTTTTTTGCCACAATCTCTTTCTTGTATATCGGTTTGTGCTTTGCCTTTAACGGAATTTTTATATCTGGCTTGATCCTTAAGGTGTTGTTCTTTCTGTCTATAATGGCTTCGAGCTTCTTAAGCGTGTCGTCTCCAATTATACCATCAAAGGTCTTCAATCCTGGCAAAACAAAAAATTCAATGAAGGTGTTGTTTCCCAGACTCTGAAAAAATCTTCCTCCGATCTTCTTGGTGATTGTTATATCTCCTCCAGCTGAACGTATCTTGAATGGTTTTGTTGTTGGTTTGGCATTTGTCGCGATCTCTTCTCTTACAAAATTTTTATTAGCTCCTGTGTCGACTAGAAATTTTAGGAGCTGGTTGTTTTTTGTCTTGAATTCTAAGTAAGGAACGCTTGAAAGGCGTCCGTCATAAAATTTACTTCTTGAACCTCATCATCTGCATATGCTGGTTCTTCGTCATATTCGCTGCATTCTTCTGGGTGGTCATCTACGTCGTCTTCAAGTGTTTCCATATTGAATAGCCTTTGGTGCTTATTGCTAGGCATGTTGCCTACTGATGGTGGCCTCTTGTATATTCCCCTGTAGTTGTCTGGCCGGTTCATATAATTAACCTGACGTGTTTGTATGGATCGGTCAACGTCCATCTTCTCTAACGGTTTTGGCGGTCTAGGTGGAGGTTGCGATTCTCTCTGATGTTGAATGTTGTAAGCCAAGTTCCGTTGTTCCACTGTTAATGGCTGTTCTGGTTGATACGACCTTGGGTTCCCAGCACTTGGTTGTTGTCGTTTCATGGACATTTTGTTGAATGGTACAGTGATTCTGTTGTTATCATTCCTGTTGTGTATAGCGAAGTTTCGGCAACTATAGTTCTGGAGCTCTAGACACGTTGAATATGCTTCTGGCAGAGTTGACGGTTTCTGAAGCATCAAGTACCTGGACAATTCCCCATTGAGCCCTCGGATAAATACGTCCAGTGCTCTGTTTCTTTGTGATTCTATCAGTACGTCTATAGTTTCTTTTGTATAATTCTCGGTCTTGATCTTATTGATTATGAGGGAGAATTGATGGTTGACTCTGGCGTAGAATTCATCTATGGTTGATCTTCCCTGTGTCAGTGTGCTCATTTGGTGCTCCAATGTGCGTATGTCCCGTTTGTCGGCATAATGCAGGGACAAACACTGCTTGATTGCGGGCCATTCTTCGTCGAACAGGTTGTACGATATTAGAGCTGCATCTGCTCTACCTCTAATTTTTCCTCTAATAGCTTGTAATATTGCTCTGTATATGGGTTTGTTTCTGACAACTTCGTAATCTCGTAGAATTGATTCTACGCTGTGCACCCATGATACATACTGCACTGCATCGCCATCAAAGGTTTGTAAATCTTTGACACAGTCCGGAAGTCTCGATATTTGTTTCAGGTCGTCTTCACTTTTCGGTGCTGCCAAATTTGTTACCTGCGGTTGTGGTGTATTGAACTGAGCCTCTAGTTTTGCTAGGCGAATTTCAAACCGTTTGCTTTGTTCAATTTGAGCATTGATGGCTCCATTTAATTTTTTGAGCTCTTCCATTATTTGTTCCATTTTTAACTTTTTATTAAGGTAATTTCACTAATTAAATTATTCTATTACGCGGTTTTAAACTTTTAAATTATATTTTTCTTTCAAATTTTGTCGATTAATTTCAAATTTTTTGTTAAATTTAAGTTTTTAGTTGGTTAATCTTATTAATTTTTCACTGGTTTTATTTAAATTTCTGATTACTTTTGTTTTATTTTTTAATCAAATATTTCTTGGTAATATAAAATTTAATTGGTTAATCTTATTAATTTTTTACTGGTTTCATTTAAATTTTCAATTACTTTTGTTTTATTTTTTGTATTAAATATTTATTGGTTAAATTTTAATTTTTCAATTTATTATCGGTTAAATGATTAATTTTTCAAATTTTCAATTTAATTTTCATTTATCACTTCAATTTTTTTAAATC